TACTACACTGTATATGTCCATATGTATCACTTTGTGATGGATAATCACCCTGTATATCTACGACAATGATATCGATACTAAAGAACTCTCTACTCTGTGTATTGGTGGTTGCTCTTTTGTAATGTCATTTTGGTTTTGTCAAAACTTACTTTACGTCTTTGTTGTGCTATTGTGTATACATAATTTATTAACATGTTTGTAGTTCTTTTAATTAACTTTGTTTGCTGAAGTTACGTGGTTTTATTATTATAACAAGCGAAACACTTCATTCATCTGATTTATTATGTGGAAATGTCACAAGTGCCAGAAACCAGTGTATTTCGGTAGAGTATATCGAAACTGATTTATTTTTATTTCTTTCAACTAACTTCTCTTTCGAGTTTTCTACTACAGTATTTTTTTTAATAAAAATAATAGGGCGTGACATTTAGCTGCCTCAAGCTTAAGTTCAGTAAAGACTTTAATGTTTGCAGAAAGTCATGTGATGTGATTTAACTTGCAGCCTTTCCTCAAAGACTCTCAAAATCTATTATTTTTAACTGCTTTTAACGTGGTTGCTTGGTTTTTTACTTTTAGAAAACATCTGCTAAAGAATCAATGTATTTTTAGATAAACGTGAATAATTTTATTGACTAAATTGTTGTAATTAAGCCTTTATTCTTCAAGGTTCCATATTGAATTTATATTTCGTTAATATAATAATCTTGCATCATGTAAAATTTTATATTATTGCTGTGCTAAATCAAAGTGTCAATTTTTAATATTTTAATATGAATAAACTGAAATGTCCTAAAAAATACTCTAAGAAAGCCCGTTCATAAGAAATTGTGAAATTAACTCACAGTCAACTAATAATAATAATAATAAATGCAAGCCAAGCACAAAGCAATTAAATTAACATAAGCAGTTTGCAGTTTTTTTAAGAAGCACCTTGTCTTTTGAAAATGCAGCTTGAGTGATTATCTTTATAGAAACTTTGTTCTTATTGCAACTAAAAAGATTTAAACTGTTTTGGACAGCAACCATAAAAGTATGAAATTCTGGACAACGAGCAGCCGAGCATTCACTATTGTACCCAGAGAAAATTCATAGTATCACAATACATTGTGCCTATAGTAAACATCAACGAGACGTTTTTATTGTAAAGAAATCCATTTAAAATTTTGTTCATAACTTTAAGGAAAAACACATTTTTTGCTTTCTAGGACCAATTCTGAATACTTTTTCTTATGAGGATTAATTCTTAATATTTTTCAATTCTATTACTTTCTTGCTAGTCATCTTATTAATTTATTTACTGGAAATATTTATATCGATTTTCCTCAGCGGAAAGAAAACATTCACTCGGTTACAACTGGCATCCAGAATGTTTACGATGTGAAGAATGTGGCAAAAGGTTGAATCCTGGACAGCATGCTGAACATAAGGGAGTACCTTATTGCCATGTGCCTTGTTATGGTGCGCTGTTTGGGCCGCAGCTGTTCGGCCATGGGACTAGAGTCGAATCTCACACAAGTTTTGGGAAAAAAGAATCTCCAAAATTGGGAAATAAACCAATTCTACCACGATCAACCTTGGAGTCAAAAATTAAAGTAGGTTCTATTTCAAAGATGTATCACCAATTCGGTGGTAATGTTGTTCATTTTTATTTAAGGTTTATAATCAGTTCTATGAAGGAAAAAGTGGAGAAATAAGATCTCGGGAAGTTAACGGTCGATTTATTCTGGAAGGTTCATTACGCATTCATTGGGGAGTACAGGGTGTGATACACTTGAAGGAAAATGACGATCAGAGAACAGTTGTAACTGTGAGAAAACGGAACTCTTGTCGAGTGAGTTCCAGTCCAGAATATGACACAGATGAAGATATACAAAGTATTTCACGGGATACCAGTTTCAATGACATATCAACATGTTCCAATACTACAACTTTGGATATTAGTAAATCAGACACAGGTAGTCAGGTTTTTGCAGATTTGTTCCTTCTGAAATATCTACCAAATTCTGTTGAAAGTACTGCTTCATGTATTTTGTATAATACAAATTGCAGGTATAGAGAGCGGTTCAGACTCCATAGATTCAAGTATATCGGATAGCAATCCCAGTTCACCGCGTAACGCCATGTCCAAAAGTGTTACGCTTCCTTCAAAGTTAGATGTGAAAAACATGGAATGGGACGAGTTGGATGATCTTTTACAAGTAGAAAGGAAAGTGGATGAAGGTGAAAAATTGTATCAAACTATGCCAATGCCGCCACCATCACCATTTAGCATTGAAAGTGACTCGACTAGTAGCAAATCTGAGTAAGCATTTCACCTTTTGTTAACTAAAGGGAAGCTGTAGGCCGTTGGTATAGATAGACGGATTTAAAAAAAACTTGTCAAGGAAAAACCAAAAATCTCTCAAGCCTGCCCAGAATATCACTCGAAAGAGAAGATATGCCCCTTTAAATGAAGAAAACCTCTTGGCTTCATTTTGATTCATAATTAATCAATGCTGTTATTTTTAGTACACCAGAGCAAGTTAAAAATAATTCTACTGCAGAAACAGTGACAATAACAGAAGACTCAAGTACTCTTAGAGCACCACTGATTAATGGTGTAACTAGTGATAATAGCATTAGTGAAGACCAAATACCTCTCTTAACTAACTCCTTCAGCAAGGACGATACTTGGGTATTAAATAGCAATAATCTGAATAGGTAAGTTACTTACTGTAAAAAAATCCAAAAGTTAAAATATATTGAATTTATTGATGATGATAACCGTTCAAAATAACCATTGAAAATATCTTGATTGAACGGCTTTAAATTAGACTTAAAAATCATAGAGTTGCAAGATATATTATTTGGACTCCGTATACAAAGATTTCAAACCTTTTGTCTAGCATGGCAAGACCACAAAGCAAACATTTATTGTAATAATTTACTGTTTAGTAGTTTGTAATAGTTTCTGGATATTGATATTTTTTTAATACTTTTTTTCAGATCTATGTCAGGTCCTGATTGTCTCGAAAGACTTCGAGACGCTCAGTCTCCCGAATTTGATCGAATGAGCGTTACAAGTGCAGACGTCACTACCGTTTCAGAACAAAACGAAGAAGTGGTACTAAGAAGACCACAGAAGACCGGTTCTACAGCCATCAGGCGTCGACCTGGAAAGCGTCTGTCAAGAAGCAAGGTACTTTTCAATAAAAACGAGATTAATAATTAGTTACGAATGAAAAATATGTTTCGTCCAGGTGAAAAGACGGTGCTCAATTAATGGGCATTTTTACGACAGAGAAACTAGCATCTTCACCCCACCCCATGGCAGTCAAATGAGCGTATGGGTCACGTCGATGGTTAACACTCAAGAAATTATCAAGCTAATGCTGGAAAAATATAAAGTCGAAAGCGACTGGAATAATTTTGCATTGTTTATTGTGAGGGATAGTGGTGGTATGTGGCATTCTTCTATATGATTCTTTTGCCTATTATTTACAATTTTCTATAAAAATTGCATTTTTGGCAGAACAAAGACGGTTAAAAGATGACGAATATCCTCTATTGGCACGGGTACTCTTGGGCCCCCATGAAGATGTCGCTAAACTATTCCTGATGGATGGTCACACTACTCCTGAAGTGAGCAGTGAGGTGGCACAGTTTTTAAATCTGTCGGTAACTGAATGTCGTGCTATACTTAACCAGTACTACTACCAAGAAGAGAAGGAAGTGGCTAAAATCAAGGAAAAGTAAGTTAAATTTTATTACAAATATTTGGGTTTCAAAACACTTTTTGGTTTGGTTTCAGATACTGTGAAATGAAGAGACGAATAGCCCATCGTTTGCAGCTAGCCCAGGCTTGATAACTAACTAATTTAGTAATTATTTCAAATATTTACTTGCTGCTAAGATTGAGAGCAAATTTTATATTGTCTCACCGTAGGTATGAAAATTTAACTAGAAAATGATTTATAGCTACTGTACCAACTCTATGATTAAAAAAATAGTTTCAATTTCTTGAATCGAAACAGCTTAGCACTAATTTTACTCAAAATGTCTAATTCTCCTTTTGCTAAGCTGTATTATTTGTTAAGACGAACTTTATTTGCATTCTTCTACGGTGATTTGTTCTATGTTATACCCATAGCTATATTCCACATTATTTGGTGTTTTTTGTAGAGTTTTTAACACTTGGCGCTTTTTAACTTTATACATCCTATGTTATTCGCATGTTTTTTAACTTTATTATACAAAATAAAATATAACAAAAAATTATATATTGTTTCAAACAATCCCTAGGTAGTACATTAATGAATTTTTTTGGGTAAGTACAACATAAATGGAATATTTAAATTAAAAGGTTGATTGATCGAGAGAAAGGAAGACGAGAGAAGAAGAAGTTTTTGTTTCTTACAAAGGTATCGAAGACGAGAAGAAAACATTGAGAATTATAAGTTTCATGTTCCTACACATTTGTTCAATTGTACAAAAAGGAAAGACAATGCTTTGTGTCGACTGTATCTTTTGCATTTAGGTATAAGTATATGCAAAAGTATATTTTTACATTAGTCACGAATTTGAAGCTACACGTTTTTATATAATTTTTGAGACGCTTTCGTTTTTTCAATGTAGTTCACTAACATTTTTTTATTTAAAATATTTCTTTCAGATAATGTAATTCTATCTGAATATTTAGTATTGCAAAAATGCAATTCCTAAATAATGCAATAGCGTTAAAACCTTTGCTAAAAAGAAATAAAAATACGTTTTACGTTAACGGGAATACAATTTTAATTAATTTAGAAGTAATTATTTAATTATCTCAGGTTTAAAGTTTTTTTTTGTGTTTTTTATTTAAGTTAAGCGTCTCTGCAGAAATGCATCGATGATGAACGAGCCGCACTGTGTGTTAAATAATATTTAAAAAAATTATATGGTACAGGCAAGCCATGACCCGCAAGATAATAATCCTGTACCGTATATCTGTTACGGTTAAACTTAAAACTTGGCTAATCTCAACATTAACCGGTTAATCTAGAGTTTAAAACAAATGTAATGTTAAAGTCAAAAGAAATTCAGATAGTTCAATATTATCTGATCAAGCCGAATACAGCCATTTGGGCTTGTTCCTGTTGAATGTATTATTAGCAGTGGCGGCGCTAGGAGTGGGCGAGGTTGGGCGAACGCCCAACGAAAATTTGTCTCGGTCATCCACTTTTCATAATAATGATAGTGAACGTGAAAACATTCCCAGTTGTTCTAGAATTGAAAAGTAAATTTTTAAGAACTTAATATAATAAATAATTTTCTAATCTAAATATGGGTACTTGCTTCCTGCTAGGACAAGAACCAACTATTCTCATATAGAGGAAAAAGAAGTCATTGATTTCATTGACTTGTCCATATCGTGAATACGTGAACTTTCAAGATAGCCGGACAAGTTTTCCTAAAAAAAAAACAGTATGGTTGTGACCTTTGTAGTTTAGTTCAGTTATTATATCATGTATACTTGGATTAAATACAGCTTTCTCAAAGATGCTGTATTCCGTTTTCCCTTATAGATTTTTCGAAGCAGCAGTTTAAGTTTTGTTACTGAAGGCTACAAGAACTGGAAAAGTGCTGCAGAAACAAAAGCTGGGTTTACAAATATGATTTAGTACATTTAATCCATTTTTTTTAAATTTTTCTTTATTTCTTTAGTTGACCATTACGATATTGTGAAAAATATTTCAGCACTTTAAAGGGAATTAAAAATTATTTAAGAACGACTATGAATCAGGATAAGCTTATTGACTATTGGGCGTTTTGTTTGTTGGAAAAAATGTTGCAAAAAAATAGATTTATAATTAATTATAGATTCGTTTGCTGCTAAGCATAATAAAAGAATGCCTCTTCTAATGTTCTGCGAGAATAACTATTTCATTATTGAATTATTTTACTATCTACCTTATTTAAGTTTTATTCAATGTTTATAGTGTTATTTGCTAATTTAAATATTTTAAATCTAGTTTCGTTTAGTAAAAGGAATTATTCAATTCAAAAAATAGATTTGTTTATAATAGTTTTTATTACAATACTAGTGTTGAAGCGAATTTCATTCAGCATTTGTTTCCAACATAATAACGTTAAAAGAAATGTGCACAGTTGCGAATTATATTTTTGTATCATTTATTTCGTTATTCTACGAAAGTAGATAAAATCTCGTATAATATTTGTATTGTAAATTCATATTGGGATACTCAAGGTATTGTCAAACTCTGTTAGCTCCTTGTTTGACAAAAACATGTCGTTATAAGTGCTTACTAAAAATGAATCTTTGCAACGCTTGTAGGTACGTATGCTAAATAAAAATTACTAAAAATAATTACATATACCTTATATTCGGCCAAAGAAGAAAACAAAATATTTTGTAAAGCAGATATATTATATCCAACACTTTTTCCAATTAAAATAAAAATTCAGCAAAAATCACTGATAACTGATAATTTGCGGCTGTTTTCATACATGTTATACAGCGGCTTAATCTTCTATTTGCTGTAAAATCTTTACGTATTCATATTTTACACGTTCTTTTGCTGTTTGAGTAAGGAAAACTTCCACTTTGAACAAATCTCGGGGGATCATGTTTGAAATTTTTCCAAATCTCGATTTCCGAACAATCAGAAGTTTACATCTACTGCCCATCTTAAAAAATTTTCCGCCGGCTTTCGCCCAAGCGGAAAATAAAGCTGGCGCCGCCACTGATTATTAGATACATTTTGAATAAACTTTAATTTTCTATCAGGAATACCATTTAAGTAACGTAAATTTCGGACCTTAACCAACGGAACACGTTATTCTCGAGATTAACCGGTTAATGTCGAGATTAACATGATTTCGAACTTTAATATCAATATTTTAGCTCTCATTAATACATTAAGTATAAGCAGTAGAAAATAAAATAAATTACATGAAATTAAATTATTATTATTAATAGGTATATAATTCAATTATTATTAATTAATTCGGCGGAAGCTAATTCGCTTGCGCCAAAAGTGTTTGACTTTCCTTTTAAACCAATGAAACATATCATTAGTTTTATTGATTCATTTAAAGTGAACGTCAGTTTGTGGCTTTTTTTTCGAAAATGAAGCAAAAAACAGGTAAAAAACGTTTTATAAAAGTAACATACCACACATAAACGCACCTTGTCGTAAAATTTGGGGAAGCAGAGGTCATTATCAATCAACAAGGCAAAAATCGTACGTTTTTGATGTTTATTTGAATTTAAATCAGGCATACAAACCACTTAAAAATACTAGTACATAACTATTACACAGAAAAGTTAACCGAAAATTACTTAACAGTGTAATATAAAATACAACGGCAAATGTAAAGTAACTAAGTCAAAACTAACAACGAATACTTCAGAATATGGCAAGTAGAGATCAAAAAGTTGGAATGTAGCACACGACAAAAAGCTTACTTAGTTTGGGTTGGTTTGGGTTAGTAACTTCTCATGGTTACATTCTTGGGGCTGGGCTTGGTAATGTCCACATCCTTTCACGTGCTTCACTGCCCCTACTAGAGTTATCGGAATCTCTTTATACTCTCCTTCCTTTATGTCCAGCCTCTTGGGGGCAGTGATGTTCAGAATCCCATCATCAGACAGCGTAGATTGGATTTGTTCGGCATCAAACTGTTCCGGCAGGAAATATTTCCTGACGAAATGTCTGGATATGAGGCCATTTTCATCCTGTTTGTCTTCTTGTTTCCCTTCGACTATAATCATCTTGTCCACGGTGACTTTTACCATGATCTCTTCGGGACTGAATTGCAGGACATCGATACTAGCATTGAAAGTATCCTTGGACCGCATGTTCAAAGGTTTGGCTACCTTCACTTCGTGCAAGCCTACGAACGGCTGACTCATGGTAAAATGGACTGCTTGCTCTCCCATGGCGTTTGGATGAACAAAACCAACCTGGATTTCGTGCATCTTATTCAGCAAGACTGGAGGTACCAGTGGCGACAGCGGTACATTCATTGGTGATGTAAAAGACATTTTAAATTAACTTGTTAGGAAATCTTTACAAATTGTCAGATCTTTTCAATAAGCTTGATTTCAGCAGAATGACAAAAGTTGCTCTCGAGCCGTATTTATACGCGTTGGTTCCGATCGGGAATATTCTAGAACTTCCTGCAGCTCTGTTGCTAGGTTGTGATAATAAATAGGATTCCAGGTGTGGTATATTGATCAAATTTTTAGAGAAATTAAATTCTAATTCGGCTCTAAATGGTATTTATCTAACTTAAACTCCTAGATTTCTTATTCGGTAGTAAAATTACAATAAAAATCAAAATCCCGCAGTTCCCACATGCCTTCAGTAAGGTAAAAAATGGAAAATATTCTTCAACAGGATCGGATATTGCGAACAGTTTGGCAACTCGGATATTTCTCAAGCCTCTCGCAGACGGAGGATAATTAAAATTCCTTTTATTTAAATAAATTTGGATTTGTATCTAAAAACTGAGGATTGATTTTGACTCCAAAACGTTGAACAATGTACAGGGCTATTGATTGAACTTTGGCCACCCCGTTTTTGCATATAATTAGAAATTTAGAGACAAATGTTAAATACAAAAGTTGTAGATATTAACGTTTAGTTTATTTTAAGATAACTCCAATTGATACACGGTGTCTCAAATTCAAGTGGCAAACCAAACTTACATTTTTTTAAATGGAATGCCGTAGTTTTATTGCATATTCAAACTATTTGCACAATTTTAGGCATAGTCGATATAAATGTTCTATAATGATTTTCAACAGTTTTTGCGTTAATAACCAATATTGATTGAATTTTGGCGACCCCGTTTTTGCATATAATTAGAAATTTAGAGACAAATGTTAAATACAAAAGTTGTAGATATTAACGTCTAGTTTATTTTAAGATAACTCCAATTGATACAGGGTTGCTCAAATTCAAGTGGCAAACCAAACTTACATTTTTTTAAATGGAATGCCGTAGTTTTATTGCATATTCAAACTATTTGCACAATTTTAGGCCTATTCGATATAAATGTTCTATAATGATTTTCAACAGTTTTTGCGTTAATAACCAATATTGATTGAATTTTGGCGACCCCGTTTTTGCATATAATTAGAAATTTAGAGACAAATGTTAAATACAAAAGTTGTAGATATTAACGTCTAGTTTATTTTAAGATAACTCCAATTGATACAGGGTTGCTCAAATTCAAGTGGCAGACCAAACTTACGTTTTTTTAAATGGAATACCGTACTTTTTATTGCATATTCGAACTATTCGCACAATTCTAGGCCTATTCGATATGAATATTCTATAATGATTTTCAACTGTTTTTGAGTTAATAACCAATATTGATTGAACTTTGGCGACCCTGTTTTCGCATCCAATTTGACATTTAGATAAAAATGTTAAATACAAAACTTATAGATACTAAAGTCTAGTTTATTTTAAGATACTACCAAATGATACAGGGTGTCTCAAATTCAAGTGTCATTTATATCCAAGAGAACTGGAATTCTGCGTATAGCATATAAAATATAAAGATCCATTTAAAAAAATGTAAGTTTGTACCGCCACACATCATATCTAAAACTTTCTTATTTAATATTTTTCGCAAAATTTCAAATCAGATGCAAAAAACGGGATGACCAGAGTTCAATTAATATTGGTTATTAACTCAAAAACAGTTGACAATCATTATAGAACATTTGTATCTAGTGGGCATAGAATTGTGCGAATAGTTCGAATATGCAATAAAAACTACGGCATTGCATTTAAAAAAAAGTAAGTTTGGTCTGCCACTTGAATTTCAGACACCCGGTATCAATTGGTATTATCTTAAAATAAACTAGACGTTAATATTTACAACTTTTGTATTTAACATTTGTCTCTAAATTTCAAATTAGATGCAAAAACGGGGTGCCAAAGTTCAATCAATAACCCTGTAGGTATTGATTATGTATGATATTAAAATTTTAGAAATACAGCTATTAATAAAAAAAAAACAAATACCTAGACAAACATTTATCTGTATTTGTTTAAGGCAGCAGGCTCTCAGAAGCAGTTTAGTTTTGATAACTCTAGTTTTAAGTTATTTTATTATTATGCTCTTTATAACCAGATCGAAAATACTGCAGGAGAATTTGCATCTGTTTGGTCATACTTAGACTATAATCGAGGCGATGAAAAGTTTGAATCTGGAGTTCTTATAACGCCTTTTTAAACTATAAAAAATTAGCTTTTACTTAACTTATACAGTACCTTTAACTTTAAATTTAAATCTTTTAGTATAAAAAATTCTATTTGCTGATTTACCGATTGTTTCCTCATTTGGTTTTTGTATTTTTGGCAAATTTATCATTCATTCTTGAGCGTTTGATACCCGCTGTTTCGGTAAAAAAATACAAGTTCTTTTAATTTCATAAAATAAAAAGCACACGAAAACATGGAAAGTTTTTCCTGTTCCATTTCCCTGAAAGAAGTCTTCCGATAACCATTTTCTAAAACAATTTCTTTTATCAGATAAATTTCACTTGTTTGGAACATTGTTTTTGTGCCAAAATCGTCTCATGAGATGTTTTAAAAGAGCAAACATTTGTTTTTATTTCAGGCGGCGTTGTTGGGAGCAATGAAGACACTTTGATGACTAGAGTCAGCGAAATAAAATGGGGCGTCGCAAATGTAAGTAAATGTATTATATTTGGATTTTTGCATATTTTAATACATTTCTTTTATGGAAAGTATGTAGCGTAATTCATTAAATGCATTTGTGCAATAATGGATTCTTAGAAGATTCTTTATTTTGAAGCATTACCAAAATTTTTTATTTATTAGCACATCTCACAGCTGCGTCGTCCGTTTGCGAATCTAAATGGGAGTTTAATCTTCTGCAAAATTTAGCTGATTAATCACAAGTATAAACGCAATAGAAAATAAAACATCTATATTTGGTTGACCACACACAACTACATTTATGCATTCTTAAGTTTTGCATTTTGCATTTGGCAAATAAGCCAGAAAATATATTTACTTAATCATAATTGCTTCCTGCTTCGTCGAATTATTTTAAAACGTTTCTGGAAATCTCACTTCCAGTTTGAGCTAAGCACGATTCGGCATTCGAAGAAACGATACTTGATCCTTTGCTTGACCGCTTTTTCTAAAATATGAAAATTATCTTCATTTTTATCCAATTCAAATGAACGTACAATCCACATAATATAATGCTTTTTAGTTATTAGTAGATTAATAAAATCTTACTTTAGTAATTGATAATTTTTTCTGCTGTTGTGCCATAAATTCTAAATACTCCCTTGATCCTGGATTAAGTAAAGGGGTTAAAGTGGCCGATGCTGATGGCTGATCTACATTAAATTAAAATTGAATTTTTTATCAAAAATTAATTATTATTTAAATCAGCTGAAATTAATTGGAAGAAATGCTGTTTTGTCTTTAAGATTTCTGAATAATTTCACATTTTTCTTTCGGTGTGCCCGTTTTGATTTGAAAAAGTTTTGTTAGCTGATTGATTTGTTTTAGTCGTTTATATTTTCGCCTTTGATTTCTCCACGATTTTCTCTTCGAGCATTTTATTTCAGTTGAGTTTACTTTAAAAATGTACATACATTGCTCATTTTACTTCATTATTTATACTTTTTCTGCTTTAAACGAATGCAATTTTATGTTTTCAAAGTTTAGACCTTATTTTACTATATCGAGCTTTATAATTTCAAAAGTATGTACATTTACAATTATTATCACTTTAATAAATATATACATATACATATAAAGATAGTAGGGTTTCCTAAACTTTTTCGGTAATAGAACAATGCAAACCCAGAAATTTTAACGGAAAACTTGGTTTATTTTCAAGTTCTACTAAAACTTCCTCTGAGTTAGAACATTTTCCTAACGTACTTTTTTATTTTTTCTATATTTTCCATTTGAAACCAATAAATTTCACAGAATTCGGTTTGGCGGTTTGGTTGCCAATTATTTTTCCTTTGATCTAAGTCTATCAAGTTAAATACTTTCGGCATTACAAAAGCGAGCGACAATTGAAAAACGAACGCCGATATGTCGGTACCTTTTGATGATTCTAGGCAAAACACATAAATAATTTCGTGTCTAAAAATAGTCGGATTTAGACAGAAGGGTGGGGCACTTTAGTAACGGAAAATATTTTTCTTTCTAACCGACAACAATTATTTGAAGTTTTAATGCTTTTTAACTATTGGTTGCTATGTGGAATTTGATTCCGGAATTGATAGCCCCATTTTTACACTTGGTATATATTTTTGAATAAAAAGATAATGTAAAATAGACAAAGTTACACTAAAACAAATATGGAAACCCTGCAAATCTATTTGAAAATGTTGGTTTTGTTTCGAATTCAATTAATCGTTGAACCTCATTCGCGAATGTTTGTATAGCTTTTTCGAACTTACTGTTGGATATTCGCACCGATTTGTTAATTTTATTGGCGGCGGTATATTTTTTACTTACCATTATTCCTATTTAGCAGAATGATGTAGTATGTTTCCTTATCTTTTAAAACGTCTAAACCGGTCATAGTTGGAGGACATTGTTTTGTATCTAAGAGTATGGCTTTCTCTGTGCACAACTCAAAATTATCTTTAAAAATGTAGTTATTATTTAATATAGTCAGTATTAGAGTCCGCATTTCCAGGCATTAGACTTTTTGTAGGCAATAAAATCAATATTCGATTGTTAACTAATGTGAACAAAATGTACAAAAACACTTCATTTGGCAGATTTTTTAAATGTTTTTTGTCCTTTCTGCGCTTAACAATTGAATAAACACTTTCTCAAGTTTCTCAAGCTCAGTTTAGAAAAGACATTAGTAGATAGCAATAGTATTTGGTGCACTGTAGACGAAACTACAGAAACTTGTGTAATCTAATTATTGGCATGCTTAAAATGTAGACGTTCCGACCAAAAGTTATTTAATCTGTTCAAAAAAACAAGCGACAAACAACACATTTTTCAGATTTATAAATGAAACCTTAACAAACTCTTACCATCCTGAACCTGTACCATAAGAAAAAAAATTGTTAATGATTTAGGAGATAAATATTTATCAATTAAAAAAAAATTATATATCCGACAAAATTGCCATGCTGTTATAGGAAACAGAGAACTGACCAGTAATCTTGCTATTACTAAAAGTAATTTAAAGTTTGTAAGTGAAACCATTAAATGTTTAGAAAAACAACAAATTCCATTGGTTGACTCGGTTCACAAAATTATTGACTGCAGGCCTGGCAAGACCCTGGCCAATTGGACAAACTTTACAAACAAAACTAAACGAGGTTTTATCAAAACACGAAGGATTTCAGAAGTACAAAAATATTTCTTCGGCTTCTGTTTTAAATGGAGAAATTGTTCAAACCTGTGCATATCCACAGAATAAAGATTATAATAATCTTTATTCTGTGGATATGCACCTTATAAGTCCTATAACAAGTGTAGGCGTGGAGGGAAGTTTCCTCTATTTACAAAATTATTCTTAGTGATAGACTGCAAAATTTTACTATGGAACATTTAGTAATTTTGTGTTTGAAACTTGATAACCATTATGAATGTTAACTACAGTAGCAAAAACACCCGTTATTCATCTTACCTTCATTATCTTCACTAATTCGCAAATTACTGGAAATATAATCCCTTACAATCCCTATAGGACAATGTGGATTTATCAGATTTAATTTATTTTCTGTGTCTTGGTTATTCTCAGCGACATCATTTTGTGACTGATATAGTTGATATTTATCATACTCTGAAAATTCGGTTAATTCTTACATCTTCCAAATGAAATTTGGAAACGAAGGCTCACCGATATATTTTATGATACAGAACATAGTCAATTGAAGTTGATGAAAACGTCAAAAAATATGTAAGAAAGTACCGGTTTGAGGCTGTCTTCCACAAATATGCCACTTTCATTCTCTAGATAACTACACTCTAAAGTTGTGTCGAATAATTCCTGCAACTATAGAAACTTTCTAAGCGTTGATTCCGTATAAAACATCTACATTTTGCCGTGCCTGTACTTCGTAAGAATGTGGGTACATATTTCTTGAACCCCAAAAATTGCATCAATCTCCCCGTTAGGTTTTACTGATATATTTTTTCACTCACGGCATGAAAATAAAATACTCAACACTGCGTTATAATTAACTTTATTCATTTATAATTCTTTTATAAAGTTTTATATGAACTTGAATAGCTGGCCAAATGAGTTAAATGCCGGGCATAATGGCATTAGCTTTAATTAATATTAATAAATTCATGTACGTTTAATTTATAATACCTGCTAGAAAGTTGGATTCAACTCATTTGGGAGTTAAAAAGTTAGTAATAGTAATAAATATAATAAATAATACAGTTTGAAGTTTTCAGCTTTCCTGGTAGATAGGTGGTGTAGATTATGGGAAGGAATTGGCTGATTACGGAAGTTTTAGTTATGTGCCTGATTTTTAGCCGTCAACCATAAAACATACTCCATGTAAACTCTCTTAAGACAATCGTTCGGTCAAATTGTGGACATTTATTGATAACAATTATACTAAGAGATGTTCACATTTCAAAAACATCTACTTTCATTTGGCATTGATATGGCTCGAGAGTAACATTTTTAACTAGTTAAATGATTAGGATCATTGAATACCTACTGACTAAAAACTAGGCATTAACTTTCCGAATCCTTCTTTTCAAATTATAGTACTTAAACATTACATTATGAAGTAGTGGATCGATTAAAGGTACACATGTAAAAGTAATGGGTTTTTTGTTCTATAACATTAATATAAATATGAAATACCAGCAAAATTGACAATGTAAAAAAAATATTGATAATCATTTTCATACATGGCTAGAAAGTTGTCACGCATTCATTGTCTAAATTTAATCATATGTTTTTACAGTACTGAATTACAAGTTAGCAGATTATAAATGTTATATTTTTGTTTTATTCTACTTTAATAGAATACAATAATAATCATAATAATTATAATTTTTTAAGATAAATTTAGTAAAATGTAATAAAAGTCATGCAACAAAGTATGGCTGTACACCTTTTCGAAAGGGCTTATTATGAGAGAAAGGTTTCCATTTGGCCGAGAGTTTGTCAACATGATTATTAACAGTCATCGACTCATAACAAATCAATTAAGTATCACAATTTGTGTGAACTTTTATAACAATTGAAAGTTTAAAAAATCAAACAAAAAAATATTTCCTATATCATTCGTGCTTAGAACACGGATAATTTTAATAACAATATACTCTGTCACAAATGGAACTGCGGTTGTCTTTAAAAAGCCCTTTTTATGCCCTTCATAAAAAATAGTTTATTATATTATGGGTACTCACGATCTCGATAATACTGTAAAAAGGCAAAATGATAACTTGCCACAAATTAACAAGTTAAGCGAACAAACGTTTCAGCTGAAATTTTAATACTTTGGCTTCCTACTAAAATATACTATAACAAAACAAATTTTAGCTGAAACTAATAAATAATTGCTTAAAATAAAATAAATATATAAATACAGGACACACAATAGAAAATTATATATAAAAATATACGTCTTAAGTACTTTGCGACTAGAAAGGTAAAATAGGTAAATAGCACAGCATTTAGAAATTGTACAAGTTCGACTACCTTAAAAAATTGTGATATGAAGCAAACAGTAACCCCAGTTAAGAAACATTTTATGAGCATGTCTATTATACTGACTAGAATGGTGATAAAAAAGCCAAATAAAAATTAAGTAAAAGTTGGTCCCAGCAGTGTATATTGGGCTGGACTAGGAAACTTATTTAGATGAATATAGAATAGAATAAAATTGACTAGAATACGCAAATAGTAGAAAAAAAAGGTAGCATGAGTACCGCAATGCTTAAGTGAATTGAATTACTACTGACATAAGAACAAAGATCTATTGTCAGGTTCACAAGTTCGTACTTTGGAAATTAAAAAGTTGCTGATAAGTAAAGCGAGGAAAAACTCTATTTATACTTTGCAATGTAAAAAACTTAATGCTGTTTTGTATTGGAATTGTAATTAGTTCCTCTCGAACAGCAAAGTTTTATTCCCAAAGTACTAATAAATTCGATCACCAATATCGCTAAAAAAAAATCCTCGGCAATTAACACTTTTTCTCCCACCTAAATTTAGATGCCATACTTTCTCTATAGTAAGTAATATAAATAAGTTCTAGTTCTAAAACCTAATGTCTAAAATTCTACTAAATAGCTAAAAATAATGGTTCCATATAAATCCTTAAAGACGATATATGAAAGATGGCAGGGTTAATTTTGTTTCCTTAGCTTGGGACTCGTGAACGACGTGAGTTTAAAAGCGGATTTGGGGCTAGATTAATACTAAATACTTGAAGAGAACGGAACTTTTACAGCGGAAGTTACAGTTCGAAATGTTCAAGACCAAAACTTAGTTTGTTCTCGATTTCGTAGAAGTGACAGACCCCGACAAATATTATATGTACATTAATGAGATGAGATTATTTATATGTATACTTAAGTAGGTGATTTGGTTTATTTTGATATTCCATGTCGGCGAAACGAAGATATTTTTGTTGTACTCTAATGTAAATGTACGCTGGTTTCAAGGGATGCAAACACATACTGACTAACTCCACATTATGGGTCTGATGAAGTTTTTGAAAATATTGCCAACTAAATTTATTTAGAGAATGAATTCCTAGCACTGTGTAAGTTAAAAGCTATCAGTGGCTTAAAACGCACGGAAAATAGTTTTCTACATATAAAACACAGCAGCTATCTAAACGATGAAATGAATGGCACGAACTAGGTTTGTACAAGTGAAACGATGCTTTAAATATCATAGTATACATATAAACACACAACGAGGGCCCTTAATGTTTGGCGGACTTGGTGTGTCGAAGATTTTCGGGAGACGTCGAGATTCAGTGACCGTCTCCGTAAATGATGATCCTTTTACAATAAATAATTGCAAAACATACCCTGTATCCTTTAAATCACGATCGCATTTATAAAACGGATTTTTTACAAGTGGGTAGAGAACATGTTTCAATTAGGATATATTTTTTAAATTAATATTTTACATGGTTGGACAACTATAGGCCATGTTTCGAGTTATAACTGTTTAATGCTACCCTCTTGTAGTTTGTTTACACCTAATCGCCTGATAATGCAAATTTTTAACTTAGCGAAAATTCGAAACGATTGCCAACGTTGGTTTGGCTCCTTGAATAGCTGGGAAAGCTTCGATACAATTTGGTTTACCTAAATTGAAGCCTCTCCTTACCTTAAAATGTACAAGCTACCTTAATTTATTTGGCTATCTAACGTAAAAGAAACCTGTTTCTTTTCAGCACCGGTGTGCGCTGTAGTACGGTATTTTGTGCTCTTCTTGCATCAGGCATTTGTACTATAATACCTTTGCCTTCATTTCTATACTAAACTGTATTTAGTTATACTGAATGGAAAAAACCGTTATCTTATGTAAACAGCAAATCGCATTCTCAAAATTTAATATATTATGTACGTATTTCATAAAAAAATATCTAAAGCTCGATATTTACAATTTTCAAATTTCTACATTTAGCTGTGCTCAAATTTAGGTAACCAAACGCTTTCTGGATTGTTCATTGTTGATGGCTTCAGAAGAAATAGCAAAATCAATTGCATCGATAGAACCTCTATTTTTACCACAAGAGATTATTTTGATAAGAAGTTATTTACTGTTATTTACCGCAAAAACTCCCGAAATAACTCTCAAAATATCAATACGAGGTTCAAAGAAGACATGCTGTTAAATATCGGTGATCAGGATAAAGCTCTAAAAGCATATTGATTTTTGTTTTAAAAATACGTCTGGGTTAAGTTATTGTCTTGTAACGTTGATTTTTAGAACTTGCAACAATAGTAGTAAAGCTGGTAAGTAGGCATTAATCTATCGTATTTAGAGTTTGCGTTTATTTACATTTAGACATTCGTGCGACTGAAGATGCTTTTCCGGAATTGGATAAAACTGTTGTTATACTTTTGAGAACTCTAAAAAGATTGCAAAACTTTCCAATTGAATAAAAAATCCCTAACCAGTAGCCATACCTATAAACGATCTTTTGACTTCAATTTTCTACCAGAAACTTGCAAATGGAGTTTCGAACAAGAAACAATTATTTTACAAAAAACAAGAAAATTCTGGCAATATTTTGATGTTCAAGTTCAGGTTTCAGGAGTGTTATTTGAGGCTCAAATCAACTGTTGTGAACTAATAGGTTTGAAACCGGTTCTGGGAGTGCCTGATATTAACTCATCGTGAAATTTCTACCTGTGTAAGTCAAAGTTGCAGTTATTTGAATACATCTTCTGACTAAAACATATTGTTTATTCGTAGTGATCGTTTGTCCACTCATAAACGTGCCACACTCACGTGCCCACATAAAATTTGGTTTTCAGGCGCAACTTTGGCAATCATTTTTTTTCAATAATGGCAAAAGTTTGCAATCTTTTTAGGTCGGTAATCAGCATTGGTACTATGTTTCGTACCAGACTTTATCGTTGACTTTTTAACTAGCGAACTAAAACAAAAATGATATGCTTCTTGGCACTTCTCCAATGCATTCTGACTAAAAGAATTAATTGAACGAAGCGAATTAATCGATTTAAAACATTCTTTTTTAACGATTTTTCAGTCGTTCAAAATATTGCACATGGTTTCTCAGCCAACTTACACAAACAAATCAAAATAAATTAAATGAAATGCATTGTAGTAATACATTATACGTATCTCTAAATATGTTAATTTTAATAAATAGTATGTTTGCTAAATATATATGACTTAGGACTAAAATTAATTCTAAATTATTAACTAATCCTCGCCCCCTTTGAGGCTGAATAATTTGACTAGTGAATTACCTGGACGAGATATGAAGGTCTGAGGTAATATTTCATCACGTTAGAGATCTTTGCTATACGAATAAACATATTTTCAACAATTTCTAAAGTTATCAGTAAATTTTTCAAGAAAACAGCATTAGAATCGCTTGGTTCAGGAAAGTTTCATTACCTGAACTATACAGGGTGAACTGCAGATGACCGGCGATAAATTAGTAGAATTTAGCCACACATGACTTGACGCAATCGTTTGATTTCTATAACTATCATGTGCTTTCTACAATTTTAATTTGAATTGAACGTTTTGGTGCGAAAATTGAATGTAAACTCGGTCTGTGGGTATTGTAGGGAAATTGTTGCATAAAGTTGAAACTGGTGAAGGAAATTAAGCAACATTTGACTAATGTTCTGCAAGCTAAATCTTCTGTCACTCGGTCTCAGTTCACTCTGTTTATGGACATTTCGAGGTTTCCTTATACCGTTGGATTACCGCTCTATAAGTGATATTTTAGTACAGTAACAGCAGATAGACATTTCATAGATAGTTTTCATTTACGTCGCAACTAAATTTCTCAGGAGATTTTCAGGATACGGTTCTCAATTATCAAGATAAAAATAAATATTTATTTTTATGCTGATTCGATTGCGATAAAATACCATCTCATCACTGCCACAGTTCGCCTCGTGCCAGGGCAGCTGTTGCCTAGTCTTGCAAAGCGTAAACTAAGTTGGTTTCAACATCTATTTTGGCGGAAACGCTCAACTGGCATTTGATATTATTCATCAATATAATATAAACCTATAATTAGATAAAATTCATAAACTTGTGAACGCATTGTTCTAAAATCGATTGATGGCGAATACTAGATAAGGCTGGGTTCAATCTAGGATGTTGACCAAGCGATAGTAGTATTTAGCTGATGGAATAAGAGGACGTTATAGTCTTTCTTGGGTGATGATACAAATATTGTTGTCAACCAGTCCTAGAGGAAACTCAGCCTTAAAGAAGTAACTTCTCAATTTTTAACTAACCTAAGTATAACTACTTCTAGAAATTTACAGGTTAATATATAGTTGGTACTTTTTAAGGATTATGCTTAAAACTTTAGTAGAAATTTTATACTATTTTCTTGCATTTCTTGGATTAAACTTTGTGCCGACGGCATCTTAAATTAAACCTTTATACGATCGTTAATAACAAATTTACCCCGAGCGGTCTGCGATCTGGATCACAGAATATGCGTACTAGGCTAACAATATTTTTTGGCAACGGACGAAATGGAGGCATCAGCATAACAAACAATATATACTTTTTCAATTTGGCTTTGTTACAATAACACACACATTTATAATACTTATAAACATATTAGCGTAGTATTCAAAATAGCAATTATTACACACTGTACGAGAATACAAAACGGCCTGTACAATCAACACTGATTTGTTTAGTATTCACAGCCCATTTGGAATTTCTCGAATAGTTTGACAGCTTAACATTTAAAGATTTTTTTTGTGAGTGCATGTCAGAAAAATGCTTTAGATGGAAAATTGTGCTTTTTGTGAGTTACGCGTTGGGCCCTAAATTACACATGCTTTAGAAAGTGTAAACTAAGTACAAACTAATGCACATTTAAGGGGAAACTTTTCCAATTTCTAGTAAGTTTTACTGGTAGATATAATACGATTCAGTTATGCAGATTTTTAAAACGAAATAACAATAATCCCAAAAACCATTAACATTTTTCTGGTTTTCTTGATTCGTCCTATTTCAGCTGTGAAAAATTATTTTAACTTCATCAGTATGATATTTTGTTTTTTAAATCCATTTGTTCCGTAATTTACAAGTACGTTCGAATACAAACGTACCAAATCGTTTCTGTTATAATCCAATAGATTACTATACACGATCCATTAAATGTACATAATTTTCTTCATTTTAAGGTATAATTTTTATGTACCTATTTGAATTTTTAAAGTATTTCTAGTACTTTGGTACACGTATCGTCAACATTTAGATTTTTTAGAAAAAATAAGATTATTTATTGTTTTCTTGAAAAAAACATGCTGAACTAAATTTCTTAAATTTGCGGTGCTTGAAATGTTATTAACGTGTGGTACCTATAACAGCCTAACGTTTTCATTAGATATGCGTGAAAGCAAAATGTCAATAATTCTAATTTTATGTCTTTTTCATTTTTCCCTGCAACTATTTGTAGGTTTCCCGAGGCAGTTTTTATTGGTGGTAAACTTTTCTACAAAAAAGAGTATTGGAGTATGGTTTTTTGACTGTTGATTCTATTTAGGTACGTTGCCCTGTTTGGAAAAGCCTTAATTGCCCCTCCTTTGTGTTTTTTAAATCCTTTTTTAGTACGGTGATTTCTCAAAACTTGCTATGCGGAGTGTTTTCATTTCTTGCACAGACGAATTTTAAGTGCTTAATTTTTGGGAAATATTTTGTCGCTTTCTTTCCTGTTTGTTGGAACCTGGAATCTTATATATTTTGTAACTGTTTTTCCGTTCTAAACAGGATAACAGAAGGTCTACCTCATTATAAAGTGTCTGAAATAATCAAACCACAAATATGTAGTGAAATAATCCTGTAGATAATTTTTTTTTAATATTTTGATTGATTGTTTACGGTGTCGCCTACACTGAACAAAATTAAGAGGCAAAATCTGAAGCAATTTTAGGCTAAAGCTTTAAAAAACATGTATCATGAACTTATGAAAGATGTGCCATTGTTGTTGTAATTTTTTAAAGTGCAAAATAAATCAAAATATTGAAACCTTGAACTACTTCAACAGGAAATGTTCGTTGAAGCAGCTTTTGTCGGTTTTTCTAGCAATTGAACATAAAATAACGTCAAGCAACTCTTAGTGATTCTTTCATTCAATAAAACCATCTATTTTGTGGAAACCGTTTGTATCTACCTACTTATGCGCTTTTAGGAAGTACTTCTACCTTAGCGGTAGAAGAAGTTTTCTTCACTACCAATAATATTTCCCTTTAATGGAATTATTTGTTTTGAATGGTGTCAGATTTTTTGCTTTAGTTGATTTTATCAACATTTCAGGGAGTAAAGTTGAATAGAGCGAAACAATAGTTATATAGGTACTTAAAATAATTGTATTTTATCAATTAATATAAAAATAATTGCTGCTGAAGAACTGCCAAAAAAACTTGTGCATATGTAAAGTACACAAATTTTTGAATAAAAGTAATTTTGACCTACTAACTTACGAGTATCTTACGAAATTATCTCCGGCCATTTTGAAATCAATTCCCCAATTAATTGAGAATTTAAAGAAATGTATCAGTATCGGCCGCAGCTTATTGTCGAAACTTTGGCCTTTGTTATTTACAAGTGGAATTGCTCTGGGTAGAAGTGAAAAACCGCCATCGGCAACTAAAATAACTATTGCAGCAAGCCACCACAATTATATACTATTTCTAATTACTAAATCTAGGCATATAATTCGGATTGAGTCAAGGCTTGGTTAAAAATGGGTATGGTTCTTTGTGTTAAGCTGTCAAACCAAATGGAGGTCATTATTATTTGAGTCATTATGCTGTTACCTCAAATTTTTGCTCGGGGCGTAATACCTCAAGGCTTTTAAGACTATCACCGTGGAATAAGTTTTGCTGATTGTGTTATTGTACATTAAAGTCTAAAGCTTTCCCTTGCTCTATTTAATTCAATAGATCTAAAACGCTCTTACGCAAAGTTCAGTTTTCGAATTGAGCATTGTAAAACTATCCAATTGTGTTAAAATGGATTTGCAACAATCAACAATTATTTCCCTATTCCGCGTAATCAATGATTAAATATCTTGGGGTAAACAACCAAGTACGCATTTTTGATACGTATATACTAACTGTAGGTAACTAGTATACTATGGCGGTTTAAGGTTCTTTGCCGAAGGCGGCCGTATTTTCTATCTGTTAGTATGGTCTGCTGGTATCCTTAGGTCTTTTCAGTTGGACTTTAAGACGCTTCATGCCGATTTGAAAGCCGTTCATAGCTTGAATTGCAGTTTGGGCACTAGTTTGGTTATCGAACGACACAAAACCTGAAACAAACAGAACATATTTTATTTGTCAAACTTTAACTATTAATTTTGCCACCGAAATGAATAATACCTAACTAATACAATACTGGATACTTACCAAAACATTTGCTTTGGTTGGTGGCTCGATCTATAAAAACCTTAGAACTGATGACGTTACCGAAAGGTAAGAACATTTGCATAAGTTCAGCGTCACCGAACTCTTGCGGTAAATGGTAGATGAAGAGATTGCATCCCTCCGGTCCGGATATCGAGCAGCCTGTCAGGACAAAAAATAGTTGAAAATCTTTCGTTAGATCAAATAAAAGTGCCTACCAGCGTTTGCTTTAATTTTAACAAAAAATTACTTGTTATATATTATGAACTTTTTTATTATTAGATTATTTTGTTTATCATCTTTCAATCGCTCAGTTTTCAGCAAGTAAGAGGCATAATTTAGAAACCTTTTATTAGCAAGCTATTGGAAAATATTTGATAGATTCTCTAAATAATCTTCGGTATATAGGATGGATGTATTTATAGCCGTGCGTACGAGTAAATGCCAATTGGAAATTAATCAAGAAGTTATTTTAAAATCGATGTTTTATTTTCATAAATTTTTTACTTTTTATTTTTATCGACTGCATATTTATTAGTTATTCGAAATAGCATGTCATTTCGAATATATTTTTTTTGCTAGGATAATCTTCGGGTAATTACGACTCTAAAATGTGCAATTTTTATAAAACAGGTTGTATTTGCTACATTTATCAAATATTTTTCTAAAATTTAGAACAAAATTTATTTGAATTGCAAATTAAAAAATCCTTCTAATTCAAGGTTTATTCCTTCAAAACTGGTCAAACTAATTAAAACAACCAGAATTAAAGAAAATGAAGCGAAAACAGTGAAAACATGAAAATATATTGGTTAAAAATTTCCGATTATTCCGGAGCAAATATGCGACTATGTGTTTATCATTTCACCAGTTCGAGCACCGACTTTACAAGATATGCAAAAAAGGCTTCAGTTATTATATTAAAATTGAACCAATTACTATCAACCTTGGGTCATTATTAATTTAAGCGGCTTGTATATTTTTTCACTAAAGAAATTCTACCAGGACCACAAAAAAAAGGTTTCATAGCTGCTCTTAAGAATTTGCTTGAAGCAAATTAGTTAATTTTTTAATAAGTTTTGTTAAAGTATAAATATAATATACACAGGGAATACAACCCTAAAATTTCTTAAATAGTTCAAGTAAGGGACAACACAGATTATTTTGCAATAAAAAAGTTCTTTGATGCAGTAATGTTTTATGAACTAGTAAGGACTATTCTTTGTAATTGATGAGTCCCAACATTATTCCATTGACGCACAAAATTGTTTATTAATTTCGACATAACAACTAAAAATTCGATCCGAATTAATGTTGAAAATTGTTGAGAAGTGTATTTGAAAAAATCGCTCATTATAAGGGAAATTTCACTATAACAGCCCTCGAATTTGACAAAATTGCAAAGGCAAATGGATCTTCCAAAATTGTTTAATTGTTGAAAAATTGGAACTTTTGCAGCAATTGTTCGTTGAAGATGTGTGTATAGAATGACAAATTTTCATTCCTTGAAACTTTCCCAAATAGCGAGAAGTCCATATATGGAAACAAACAGCAATTCGTAATTCTTCGAAATTGCCAAATAGGCATAAGCCTTTATAAAGCGTCGTGACTCAACAATCTTAACAATACCATAGCGATCCCCCTTCAAAATACCTTTGCTGCCTTACTAAAAGTCTTAAGGGCCGACGGTAATATTTCAAACAAGTGCGAGATCAGCAAAACTCCCTTTAGTCAATCGGGTCTTTAATGATTTACAGGGGATCACCGATAATAACTAGCAGTTCTGTGACCCAAACGGTCCTAAATCGTTAAGGTTTTCCTCTTATATGACAGCATAAATTTATTGGAATATCGGTTATAAATATCATATCATTATTAAAGCTTTGCCACCGGCGTCTTGGGGCTTTTCTCAAAAGGGTCCCATGAAACTCGGTAATATTTAACACTTAATAATAAACTAAATAACTTCTATAGAAAAACAAAAAAAAATCTATTTTGTGTTTGTCTGTATTTATCCTAAAATATCGATCTATGGCATAAAACACATAAAGGACTACGTGCATTTTAATGGAAGAAAGGAATGTGAATAATACTTGCCTAGATTGTCGATAATACGGTAAGCTGGAAAAGACAAAACAATTATACAAGTATTTTATATGTCAAACTGGAAAACATGTTTGACTAAATGCTCTACGTCAAAGCTAAAAACTAATCAATGGTAGATAATAGTAACCATAATGATAATAATAATAATAATAATAAATATTTTTACATAATGTACATTTCTTTCTTCCAGTGCCTCTCATTTATATGGGTAACACATAGAGAAATATAGTCGTTAGGGGCCATATAACTCAATACACAGACGGGAGGCAACTAACTAGAGCAACCCATTGAACGTGCAAAAGTTAGACATTAATAATAAAACATTTATCAGAAAGAGGCACGATTAGTTTCAAGTAAATGCAACATATATGTAAAATTAGTTCACGATTTGCCAACCAAAAAGCTCATAGAAATTACGTCTGGTAAAAATGATGGATCGATCATATCGAGTCAAGAAAAGTTTTACTTCTGTGCTTAAGCCGATCCAAATTTTGTCTAGTTCGAGGATCTTAATTAGATTCTTCTAGAAGTATCTTTCCAAATAATCATTTCGAAGCATATGCTCTTCCAACTGATAATAAACTTGTTCTTTTTGGATGACAATCCGATCAATAATGACTGTGTATATTGTAGAAACATTATCATCCTAACGCACATTGCACAGGGATTTAAGAGTGTTAAAACCAAAAATCTATTTTATTCAACCCACTGAAAATATATTGCGGTTTTGCTTAAAAAATATTAATTTCAAAAATGCAAAAGAGAATCTGTTTATTAATTCCTTATAAGATCCGAATAAGAAACCGTTTCTACATTAACTATCCAGTAGATAGATAGCAGAGAATTTAAATTTCTACTGTAGTCTTAAGCATTAACCAAATAAAACGGATTATTCTGCAATGAATATAATATTATGTACAGGGTATGATGAGGGGCTGCTTAAGAGCTTGAGGGAATATTAAAATAGACTTTTGGGAAATTAATAGAGTGGGTGATTCTGCAAGAATTTCCGTGCACATTATTCAATGTCTAAGAAATTTGATCAGCTATTGCTAAATTCTTGCAAATCAAACCATTTATTAGTTTAGTCAGTTAATGGGCTAGTGATTTAAGTTGAGTTGTAGAAATCTTACCTTCTCTTTGGGCAGGGGCTATCGCTGAGACAGGTTGAGGTATTGCTTGGGGGAATTGGCCATAAACGGCAGGGTAAGCTGCTGAACAAATAACATAAAATCACACCCATACCAGATTAGATGCAACATGCATGTCTATGCACGACTCTGCATTTCAATAATCTCTGATTACTTATCTAATACAACTAAATATACTATTTCTAAATCCAGCTACAGAAAAAAATATAGCTATGCTTAATGATTCAGTTAGACATTCGCAAGTCTATGATTTAAAATTTAATTCCCACATAATTCTTATTGCCACATATAATATGCAAACTAGCCCACAATCGTTATAACAAAGATAAATTGTTCGTTAATATATTTGCTCTATTAAACAAGACTATATTTCACAGAAACAATTTCAAACATATCAACATGTTTCAAACTTTTTTTGGTGTTATTCCTTTCCTGATATCACTGCATAGATTTTGAACTCTAAATAGCAACCTAACACATCTAGAATTTAATGAAACACTTTTGCGTGTTCCCTTAAAAGATACACTACAGAAAAATAGAAAATCATGCAAAATTATCCGAATCCACCCAACCTGGTAACCGAAACGGATAAATAAATACGTGGAGTGTGGTCTACAATCTACATTAAATGCTCTCGTGCCATGCACAACAAATACAAATAAATTAAATCACGCGCTCCTGAAAAAATTATTTACATTTCCAACATACTACATTTAATTGCATTCGTTTTCATTGAAAGGTGCATTTACATTAAACTATAGATTTTCATGTGCATGTGCAGTACTTTTTAATGGCAATGCCTAAAATAATAACAGTAAAGAAAATGAAATTTGTACAGTAAACCAATTAACCAATTAAAAAAGAATTCAATGAAAATAATTCGAAAAAGTGAAGTCCTTCTCTATTTTCGTTTTGTAAATGGACCAGATTGTATCAAGCTACTACACTAATCTAGAAGATCTAATGACTTAATTACTCCTTAAGGTATTATTATCGCTTAACAGCCCTAAAAAACTGCCAACTTCCTTAGGCTACGAGCATTAGAGCTATTTATTGCCAGACATAAAAGTATTAGTAGGTCTATATATAAAGTAGATGGATAGTTCAAGATATAACTTTGTTTTCGTGATATTAAGTAAACATGAAGATTTTTGCTGAATATATTTGACGGTAATATTTATGTCACATTTTTGGGCAACGAGTTTAAATTTAGCATGCAAAATGCCTGTTCCAATAAAAAGCAATTCGCTTAAATACGGGAATTAAAAACAAATTTCTATGCTGTAACGTTGGTCGATTACACGGTAAAAAATATTGAACATATATCGCTAAAATGGCCTAAATATTAGTGCATCTATTTAATAATATAAATTGCCTGATTTATTGCATTTCCAATATATAACCTAGCTGAGTATTTTCATGTTTCGTTCCGCATTAATGCACAAAATCCTTTTTGAAATTCCTATCTACAGGGAAATTTGTTTGTTGAAAATTTTAACTTAAAAATCAGTTTTACTAATGAAACATTATATAGGCATCTGGTTCATTGTTTGTTTATATTTTGAGCAATAATTATGCGTAAATGATTTTTTTAGAACATTAGCAAACAAAATCAGTTTTTGAGTAAATAATAACAAATTTAAAATAAAATATTATAAATACGCCAGCTTTTTAGTGAAAGTAAAAAAAGTGCTTTTGTCCATAAAAAGAAGCCATAAAAGAAGAAATTTTGCCGGTTTCATCTGTTTTTTGGAACAAATCTTAAGAATCACATTTATTAAAAATGTAAAGGTTTGCATATAAAAACCGAAAATTAAATTTATTGGAACCGCATTAGGTTTAATTCATTCACATGCAAGTGAAACAACCATTATAATTTGAACTTGAATGCTTGCTCGAAATTCATTCATTCGCAAACTTATTTCTGCATTCCACGGTAAATGCTTCATTTAAGAACTTATAGGCGGTGACTATTGCATAGCAATCTTCACAAACACTTCAGAAACGTTCTATATACAAAAACCGATGTGTTAAATATTACGAACTTACCAACACCACTAACTCCATAACCAGCTGGTTGCATCGCTTGAAAAGCAGCCGGATGTTGTAGTGCTGCTTCCCCATTCGGTAAACCTTGTGCTGGGATGGACAAATGCAATGCGTCTGCAAGAATAACACAAACTTTAGATTCCATGCTGAAACGATCTTTCATATAACAGTTTTTACTTACGAGGTGGAAACGTTTGAGGAGGGATTCCATTAGTATACACGGATTCTTGTCCATTAACTTGAGGTCCATTAGGTGTTTGTGCGGCCATATTAAATGTTGGCATTGTTGGAGATGGCAGGCTGGGAATGGCTCCATTTACAGGTTGGCCGTTTCTGTCCACAGGCGGTCCAACTTGGACATCACCGTATTCAGGACCTACAACAATTAGTTTTTTAAAAATTATTAACAACGAATCTTCATTAATTACAAAAAGTATTCCACCCAAACAAATATTGTGTGTATTTTAATTTCCTGCAATTATTTCCCAATGGTGAGCTGGGTCGTGATTTCGCTCCTCACATTAAAAGTGTTCAACAAATAAAAGGGTAAATTAAGAAAAGTATAGGTAAAGCATTCCTAAAATATGTAGGTATTCAATGTATAATTCAACGTATACAAAACTTTC